TCAAGGGCAGTTTTTTGAATAAGACATCCACTTACTCATTACTGGAAGGAAGGATGTGCATAATCAACGGACAAGCATATGAAAACAACACTAAATATTACGACATTAAATCATTAACCACTGCCTTTTTCTTTTTTGTTGTTGTTTTTGTTCATGTCTTCCTTTTGACTTGAATTTTCAGAAAGCCGCAGAGATGCTAAGTTGAGCAGGCTTGCGGGATTCTAGTTCATTCTTTCCTTTTTTCATTCCTCATCTTATATTGAATGAAAATCTTGGGCCGTCATTCCTATGCTTTTGATGTGGCTAGTCTTCGTGTATAAAACTTATTTCTCAGCAATCCGTGTCTTCAGATTCCAAATATTTAAACTAAACTCTAATTTCGGCTTTGAAGCTCACTTAGACCTAGATGTCTTAAGATGGACTGTGATTCTTGCTCCATGTTTCTTAGCAGTTCAGCCTTTTTTTATATTCATTGATAATTTGGCTTCTAATTGCCTGCATCCAGCTCATGCTCTCAAAAACACACAGAGGCAGTACTTGAAGACATTCTGAGTACAGTATTCATACAGCCCAGTTTCTCATTGCAGTACAGTACTTTGTAATTTATCCTGGGCTTATCTAAATGGTGTCCCTGATGACCCTGTCTTAATGCTATTCATCTCTGGGAGATGGGAAAGTGAAACACATACTCCTCCCTTGCCCCCCACCAAATCCAGATAAACACTACTTTCTGTCTGAATTGGTTCTATAGATTTGCCACAGACTTAATTAATGTAATAAAAGGTTGGATATTTCATAACTGCAGATGTACCATTTTGAACTTAATCAAAACTGTCATTGAATTACATAGTCCTGTGTGCTATTTCTCCTGCTATGAATTAACTATGCTACAGTGCAGCTGAAAAGCAGCTCTGTATATTCAGAATATTTTTTTCTAAAGTAATAAAGAACGTGAGGAAGGAAAATGTAATCCAATTTCTAAGCAAAAGTCCACTTCTTACATGACTTGAGAACAAATGTACATTCATGTGCACTCATGGGAATAAGGACATGTGCACTGTCTTTGGACAAACATGTACATACAAACCAAATTTGTGCATTTCCAGGGCAACCATGTGGTAGAGCAAGAAGCCCAGAGGCTTTACCAAGGTAGACTGGCATTCCTGTGGATCTAAGCATTCCTGTGGATTTCTAAGCATTCCTGGGCCATGCTTAGAAATGGGCAAAGAGAAAGAAGAACAGAGGAAGATGCAGCAGTGCATGCTTCTTACCTTAGAAATCCACCTTTCTTGTCCTTCCTCTTACAAGGTCATTGCTGACTGAATGCCACTGATTTTGGATCCAAGGAACAGGAAAGGCAGGGAGAGAGAAAGGGCAGACAGTACAGAAGTTAAAGCTCCTTGCACTGCCCTTTTAAGAAGATATCAAAGGAATACGTGGCCAGTACATTTTTAAAAATTCCCCACTCACTTCCTTCTTCATACAGTAACTGCCTTAGGAAGCTGATGTTCTCTTGCCAGAAAAATAGAAGTAAAACAGAATGCCCAGCTCTGCAAGCAGCTGCTGGGGCTCTTCTGTCTTACCAGCAGCCTTCAATCTATGACCTGGTCTTGTCGTTTGCATTTCCCCATTCCTAGGAATGGGGTTTCAGGGAAATACAAATGCCATAATGGACTCAAAGGGCACAGGGTTTGTTGTGCCCTTTATTTGGGCACTGAGCATGCGCATCCAAAATGGAAGTCTGCTTTCTGCTGTTTCCAATTCCGGCAACATTTAAAATTTCATAATAGTTGGTACTTTCGCAATATTTATGTTGAATTAATTGAATTTAAAATGCAATTAACATTTTTGTCAGGGCTCCATTTCTACTGCCTCGTGTGCAAGAAAGGTTTGGTTGCCAAGTACAGTAGCTATATGGGTTTGCTTGCACATTCTGAAGTTAGTACATCAAGCTAACTCTCATTACTGAATTATGCAAGAGTTTGGTTCTGTACATTAAATTTATATTTATGTGAAATGGGATTCTGTGTATAATGCAATTACTCTGGAAACAAGAGTATCCCTCATAGTGGAATAAATACTTTAAAATATACTGAATGCATATTTCTAGATTTCTCTGGAAGTTGCTAATCAGAGTGCAAACTGCCAAACAATTGCTTTATAGTACATTGTGTGCCTGCTTATTTAGGATGCAAAAGTGGGCAGGGGCTTTATTTCCCTTTTTCAATAATCCAAAACATGTGTGCATGAGAATATCATAATCAAATGTGCTGAGTGAAATGATTGCTAGTGGAATTGTTAGCAGAACCAAAATCATTACTGGCTCTGTTTACATGCAGGAGATCTACTTATTTACATAGAAGCCAGACAAGCTCCTTTTATGATATCTTTCTGCCAACAGGAAAAAATGTAGGATATTACTGCCCAGACAGGCTTGTTAGTGGACTGCCTTGGTTTGCACCTCATCCCAGCAATGTGTGCGTAAATAGCTGGTCATGTTTGAAATCTGTTTCGAAAAGGGAACAGGGGGCTGGCTAGTAAGCCAGTCTCCAAAGGTTGTTCAGGGTTAACCAGCATGCTTCAGCTAGTCTCTTGAAAAGTTTCTTCTGTAAAGTCATTGAGTCATCAGAAATGGAAAAGATACAGGAATATAGCTTACAAGTAACTACCAAGTTCCAGAGAGCACTCAAGCTGTCATGAGGCATAAATCCACCCAAGAGGTGTCAGTCTTAGGATATTGTGCAGTCAGGAAGGAAGCCTCCTGACCAGGATGATCAGCCTTGGCTATTCTGCTACTTTCCCCCTTTGTTAATGAAGTACTGTGACGACTGGTAAAAAGGGGCTCATTTCACTCTTTCACATTTCAGCCTAGCATTCTGAATCCATCAAGAGCAGTAGGTTAACCGAATTAGGAAAAAGGAAACAGAAATCAAACTGTACCATCAAACTTAAGATCCTAGACTTCAGATGATTCCCATCTTTAGACATTCTGTTTTGCTGCGGTTTTCTCCAAAGAGGTTCTGTGTGCTGCTTGTATCTTAAGAAGCTGTTCCCTTTGCTGTTCTGTTCTTGCAAAGAAGCTGGCCAAATAGCGCAGTGGTTCAGGTATCTGGCTGTGGAGCCAGAAGTTGGGCATTCGATTCTCCACTGTGCCTCGCAGAACAGCCGACCCGTCTGGCCTTGGGCAAACTGCAGAGTCCGAGGCTGCAGAGCCCCCAGAACAAGGGAATGGCAAATCATAGAGAGTACTTTGTACCTAGAAAACTCTGAAAAGGATTATCATAACAGCATTGATTTGATGGCATACGATTGTTGTAGTTACTGTTGCAAAGAAATTCTGTTTGTTCTTATCCTGAGAAGTCCTGTTTCTGAATGCTTCTTGCCAATGCTTTGCTAAAATCATTGCGTTGACTCCTTCAGCTTGGTTTGCTAATTTTAAGCAGTATTTTGGGTGCAGACCAGCCCAGGAAATCTTCCCACATTCAACCTGTCCCATTTCCTCTGTTTTGGTCCAGTGGACTTTTGCTAGCTTGCTCTTCCCTAAGACTGTTGCCCAAGACCTGTTTTTTTCAACTAAAAGTACAAACCTACCCAGCTCCTCTGTAGGAAAACATAACTAGATCAAACAGAAGGCAAATTTCTCTAGCCTAATCAATCTTTGGAAAGCCCCTATACATTGGCAGTTTCCACGTCTTTTCCCTTCTGTCTTTGGTGTGATGTGCTTAGGGAAGAATTAGGTCTGCCTTATAACAAACTGTTTAAGATCCCTTTTTGCTCCCTGATCTCCGAGCTGCCAACCCAAACTCTTTTATTCTCTTTCCAGCAACTTGTGAACCCACATTCCTTAAATCCAGACCCTGCCACCTCATGAAATTTTACAGCCTACTTTTAGTGGCCTTCATCTTAGTGTCCTTTCAGTTTTTCACAAGTAGGCTTCTTTGGCTTAATATTTTCCCATTCTCAAGGCACTGTATTTAACTTTCTGATTGTGCTGTTATTTATATATTATTTGCCATTTATGAGGGTCTAGCATAATATTTGCTATTCCCCAATTTAATAATTGTGTATATTTTGATTCTTTTGTCCTCAAGTGAAACCTCCCTGTAAGAGAGCTCTGCGTAAACATGAGGTATTGTGACTAATCTTCCTTGATATTCTAAAAGAATTACTTTTTGATATGTTTCAATACATACAATAATTCTGCTAAAATCCAGTGGCATCTGTGACTAGAGAGAAGCTCTCACTTGTTGATTTAGATGAAATGCCCCAATGTCCAGCTCAGGTTTAGCCTTTTCAATGTTCATTGGATTGCAGTTTGCAACCAAATAAAGTCCAGTATTGTGCCCTGTGTGGATTTTTCAATTCAGATAGGGAGAAATGGCAACAGTTTGACTGAATTGTATCTTCATTAGTCACCAGAACACTACGATGAGTCTGTAAAGGAATGTATAGGAAACCTTTGAAAAACTGGACACATTGTGGTAGATATTGCTCATAACCAACCTCTGGCGGGGCATACTGAAATGATAAGACTTTTGATAGCCATCAGAAAGTTAAGGATGCAAGAAGTTAAGGCTTTTATCTGCAAACAAATGTGTATTAATAGTCTGTAATATATTTACAAATGTTTCTATACTAAAACTAACAGTATTTTGTTCACAGTGCCATTGTTTATACAGGTAGCTTTCCCATAATACTTCGGTATTTTCATATGGGAATCAGTAGCGCTTTATATATACAGGAGACGTACATGTGCTAATATAAACAGGTCACGGATACAGTCATCAAAAGAGACATCTGGACACATTTAAACTGTACAACTCCTTTTTTGATTTGATAAGAAATACTGTTCTTGCACTGAGGAGAATGTCAGTCTTTTATCGAAAGTGGCATAAAATGATCACTGGGCACCATCACAGAAAAGCTTTGTATACACAGAATAACCTTATTTCAAGGTTTTTAGATTCCTTGTCCAGTGCACCAAATACATTTTTTTTAAAAAAAAAAAGGCTTGATTGATTATTTAAAATGAGATACTTTTTCTCTCGCATGACCAGATGTCCTCAGCGTTCTCCAATGGCGCTGCTGGTGGTGAAGGTGGTTTTTAATGTGCAGCCCAGCTGCCCAACTGAAGACTGTATGTTGCTCCAAACCTTTTGTTCAGAAACATGTCACAGTTTCACCAAGAGTGAATGAAACGGATAACCAAGAATGCACTGGTCTTGCCTTGTGCTCTCTAATCCTCTTGATGGTGAGGAACTTGTTCACTGGCCCAGCTTCAACATGACTAAAAGAAACTTCTCACACAAAGAGTTGGTGATGAGAAGTGATGCATGGCTTCAGATATTAAGATGAGGAAGTGAGATTTGGCAGAGCTTTAGAACACATGTTCTACTGAGGGACACCTGTAGCCATTAGCTTCCCCCCCCCCCTGCTTTTTCTTCCTGCATGGTTAACAGCGGGCCATCATACCCATTTTGTTCACTGTTGGGAAAGATTTCGGGGCACAGCAGCATAAAGCGCTGAGTGGCCACTGCTACAGGGCTTCTCCTTCATTTAAAGTTTGTTCTTCATTTTCTGTCTTATGAACCGAGTGGTCACTGCTCCTCCTGCTGCTGTGTTGTTTATGAAGCAAACTCCTCCACTTGGTCTTGTTCCTCCTCAGATGGTTTAGCATGTTTTCGGATAAGGGGGTGTGCCCAGTAAAGTTGGCCCATTCTTCAAAGAGTGGTTCCACAATGTAGGTCATGAAGCCTGAAGGGAAACACAAGGCCAATCTTATCAGTGGCTAAGTTGTTCACTTTAGTACACTGACTGGCTGAGCCAAACCTGACCCCTCATTACAAAAAAAAGCCACTGTAGGGGCAAAATTGTTACAAACTTGTCTTACATTTTGGTTGTTGTGGGTTTTTTGGGCTATTCGGCTCTGTTCTGAAGGTTGTTCTTCCTGACGTTTCGCCAGTCTCTGTGGCCGGCATCTTCAGAGGAGATCTTC